TATAATTTATTAATTACGATGATTAATAATTTTCGAGATTTTGAAAAATTCTGTCAAAATTCGATGTTAAAATGCTTATAAAAAAAAATTGTGCCTATGTATTTTTAATATTTTTCAACTGATATTGTAACAATATATCAGGAGCCTTGTATTAAATTTTTACACTTTTTGGCCCAACAGATAAAACTTAATTGATATTTATAGAAAAAAAAAACTAAAAAAATTGAAAACTGAAAATGTCCGTAAACGGCTCAAAAAGAGTCAAAATATTTTCAAAATTGTATGGTGTATAGGAAATGCTAATATAAACATTCAGTGAAATTTTCATGTATTTACAGTAATTCGTTTTTTAATTACAACAAAAAAAGGAAATTGCCACATGAGAAATCGAGTGAATATCCAATGTTGTAAAAATTTGAATATCAAACGCTCATAAAAATTTAATTTGACTTTCCGGTAGAGATTTTTTTATTGATAAAGGTAGACAATCTTATGAGTAATCTTGTATTAGATTTTCAAATCTTAGATTTAAAAAGAAAAATTTTTACGAATTCTTAACTCAAAATAATTTGCTAATTTTCGTGATTTTTCCATATTTTGTCAATTTTTGAACTTTAAATGCTTATAAAAAAAAATTGTGACTAAGGATTTTTAATATTTTTCATCTGCCTTTGAAACAATATATTAGGAGCCTTCTATTAAATTTTCAAGCTTTCGCAACCAACAAATAAAATTTTATTGATATTTCTAGAAAAAAAAACTAAAAAAAAACGAAAAATGAAAATGTCCCTAAACAGTTCAAAATAAATCAAAATATTTTGAAAATGTTATCGTGTATAGAAAATGCAAATATAAACAACCAGTGAAAATTTCATGTATATACGTTCATTTGTTTTAAAGTTACACCAATAACCAAAATCGATTTTTTGGAAAATCAATTTTGCGTAAAAATTCCCGTTTTTCCTTAATTTTTATGTTGTTTTTCCCGGCGCGTGTGAAAACTACTGGGAAATTTAAATTTTGACCTCCCCAATGCACCAACGATATTCACTTTCCAATCGAACAAGATACTGAAGTCGAAAATCGAAGCATTATTTCGACTACTTATCGTGTACACAGATACAAAAAAAATAAAAAATAAAAAAATAAAAAAATAAAAAAATAAAAAAATAAAAAAATAAAAAAACACACATCATTGTAAAATCAATACATTCATCGTTTCACTCAGAATCTAAAATAAAAAAAAAAAAACACACATCATTGTAAAATCAATACATTCATCGTTTCACTCAGAATCTAAAATACCTACTAGACACTTATCGAAAATTCGTAACTCGTGTTGCCTAAGAAAATCTATTTTATAATTGACTATACTGTACTCTTGATACGGGATTTAGGGATTTTTAAGAGATGTGTTTAGAATATAAGTATAATAATGAGCGCTCATAAAATATGTAAACTACATTCGGTTCTCGAATTGACTATATTTTGTGCTTTTGCTACAGATATAGGGATTTTTAAAAGCAATCGATAATAGTCACGTCCCAAATCATAGATAACAAATTCATATAATATTGGTATTCGAATCACATAAATATCATACATAAAATTCAGGAGAAAATATCTCTTAATATACTTTGTGTTAAATATACAAATCAAAACACCAAATATGTAGTATATAGTATATATTGTATACTCTTCAGTGACTTCGTGCATCGAACTCAATTCCGTATCCACGATTACGAATACTAATCAACGTATTTTATTACGTAAACAAATATTAATTGCTTATACCGTTTAACACGTGCACTATAGTAACAGCCAACAGGGCTTGTCGTCACATGTCGTGTCATCTCACTCTTAGAAGGACAATAATCGAGTGGGTTATCGATACTGGAATTCATACTACATTTTTATGCACTATTTCAGTATTTCACAATATCCCTTACATTCCATTTTCTATAATTATCACTTTTGCTGTTCCCTTTTAATATTTTCGTATTTTAATTCTACTACAGCTACCACTACAGTAGGAGTAGAGTAATATTTTTATAAATAATTGTTATATTGTTTATATTACAAAATTATTGATTATTTAAATTTTAAGAAATTCGATGGGACAAAAATATAAATGATATTATTTCAATTTTTAAAATAAACATATTTAAATCATTAAATATACAAAAATGATGTAAATGTAGGTCAATGACATAAATCTTCATGATTTATATAATATATTAATTCAATTTTTTAAGTAAAGTTATTGTAAGTCATACGACTTATACGCATAACCGAATAACTCTTTATAATTTGACGATTTATTTAATAATTATATAGGATTAAGTTCTCTAGAGTCTAGATCAGTGGTTCTTAACGGGGGCGCTACCGCCCCCTTGGGGGCATTTCGGTCTCTATGGGGGGCGATAGTTTTGAAGGGGGCGTTGAGGGGGCGGTGAGCTTTTTCAAACTAAGAGATTAAAAATAATACAATTTATTAATATTATATAACAACACTACAAATAATTGAACGTGAAATCAGAATAGTTGTAATTGCGTACGATACAACGACATACGGAATGTTATCTAATCGCATTTTACGTATCGGGAACGTCTTGTTTATAAAAAAATTATTTTTAAATTTTCAACCATAACTGGACTATTGTATACTGTACCTTGCAAGTTGCAAAGGATTCAGCTTTTGACGAAACAAAGAAATCGGTTGTACATTTGTAACAAAGGTGATCTACGTTTAGCTTTGACCAATATCGAACCAGACTTCGCCACGTTAGCAGCTACTCATCAGGCTCAGGGCAGTCATTGATAGGTATAATTTTTATATTTTATAATTTTTTTTTTCATAGTTAAGTAATTCTTTTTGTTAAGTGGTAAAAAATATAACTTTTATTATCTAAAAATAAGAGTTTTTACTTTTTACTTTAATTAATAATGTTATACTGTAATATACTGATTAATAAATAAATATACGTATATATGTATATGTATAATATATATATCTTTATTAGAAGAAATTTTGATTTTGAGGGGGGAGGGGCGTTAGCAGTAAGTTATTACGATAAAGGGGGCGCTGAACTAAAAAAGGTTAAGAACCACTGGTCTAGATTATAACATAAATTAATGTAAATAGCACCATTTTTATTCAGGTTATCTTCCTATCTTAAACATTGTAGATATACACTATTGTTACCAAAATTAAAAATTATACAACAATAAACATTAAATAAAAGAATGGTTTAAATTATTAATTAGATTGTTGTTTATGTGATTAGTGATATTGTAATGTAAAGTACGAAATAGTTTACCTTTTTAGTTTTTAATTATAATTTGAGAATTATAATTTTGTGAATTTTATTTTGTTTTATTTTGTGACCAAAATTATAATAGTATAAATTATATTTTTATTTGGCTTGTAAGAATAAGGTTATCCAAATATTAAATACTAAAGACAAATCTAATATAGCAAAAACTATATAAATGAAATTGTTTATACATCTTACTATTTATACTACTATATTTTTCATACCACGTACTATGGCAATCATTAATAAATAATAATTTTTCATTAGTAATGCCTTTGGTTCTATATCAATACTTAAAATACTATTATATATAATATTATATTATTATACTACTATTCGTCGCCTCCGAATGAAAAGGTTCTAAATCAATTTTTTTGAAAAATGGTTTTTTTGCATATAATCATTTATAATTTTTTGTTGTATAATTCAATCTTGAAATCGGATCGATCCGTTGATTATTCAATGAGATACAGAGAATGAAAAGGTTCTAACTCATAAGAACGTGAATGATAAGCGCGAAACCGAGAAATATCAGTTACAACCTTTTCATTCTAAACAATAATTAAGAATGAAATAGTTCTAAACGGTCTTAAATGTAATATCTCAGAATGAAAAGGTACCGTTATAATACGGTTATACCACTGGTACAATATAAATTATTATTGTGCCATAATAAAATATTATTCCAGCATTCCAGCATAAATTTACCGTCTATTTTTGTTTTGTTGAGGTGATAAGGTAGGTAATACCTACATACCACATGTATATAGTACATACTTTAGTATTATAAGAAATGGTACATTTAAATTTGAATTACGTTTTTGACATTTTTCATTATTGTGAATTATGATTTATGCCGTTTAATTTATATTGTTGCGTTTTCAATATACCCCCCTTCCCTACACTAATTGCGCCAATGGACCATACAATTGTAACTTATTACTTATAGTAGGCACATACACAACAACAAAAAATTCCGGGGGTGGGGGGACCCCCGCCCACTACATATACGGGTATGTTATAATATAATAATACTTAACTTAAAAACTAAAAATATTGCATAATAAAAAAATGTATAATTTATAACATAGTTTACACTAGAAGTTGGTATCACTGCATAGAAAAAATGATTCAAATCAGAATGAAAAAGTTCTAACTAAATAAATAATTTTTATTTTCAGAATGAAAAAGTTCTACACGTAAAACCTTTTAATTCTAAAACTAATTTTTTGGTTTTTTATGATTAACTCAGTCAATAATTGAGGAAAGACAAATTGCAGATAAAGTTGTGTTCTTTGGAACTTTCTTGATATAATTGCATACAATTTTCACGATTTAGTAATTATGGTGAAAAAAGTTATTCAATGTCCTACTTAAAAACGTTCCCCTGAACAATTACATAAATTGCGTTAGAACCTTTTCATTCTGAGACGACGTATTATAATTTATAATAATATATTAGTATAATAAATAATAAACGTATAATAAATATTGAATAGCACCAACATTAGGTAATATATTTTAATAAACTGCATAGCAGTATTATTTTTAATTTTTTTTATGTAGGTATGTTTATTGTTCAACAATGTTACAGTACCTACTGTATTAGATTCATCTGTTATTTTATGATAAGTCTTTTTTAATTAAATTGTTCATGTTCAATTGCTGTTTATATTGAAATAGTAAGGATGTGGAATTACGAGTACGAGTTGGTGTGTGGGATACTCAGTGCTCCAATAATGAAGAAGATATTGAATATTCGTGCGAAGATGTTGGTGTTTCAAAAATAGTTTATCATCCAAAGTATGATAATGAAACTATTCACAATGATATTGCGTTGATCAAACTCGAATCCGAAATCAAATTTCATTCACATATTAATATTATATGCATTCCTGACAATGAAAATCAAATAAACTATGACCCTCAGTCGTGTGTATCAACAGGATGGGGTCAAAATGGACACGGTCAGTATAAATTATTTAATAATAATATAATAATAGTAAATTACTAAATTATGAAGAGAAGATAGTATAACCTGTTTCATACCTTATGGAAAAAAACCCAGAAAAATTGATTTACATAAATGCATCGCTTTAATGATAAACTATTATAATATACATGTCCAAGGTGTGGATCTATCTTGTACATGTCTAAGTTTCTACATAAACCACTATAATCACTATTTACTACCACTCAATGAATTATAATACTGTTCCTTATTAATTAATATTGTATGCTAGATGTATGCTAGTATCTAGATATTTTCAGTGAGGGGTCTCCAAATGTGTTTTTTTAATATAAATTAATTTCATGTCCAACTGAAAACATATTTTGCTTATTATATCAAAAACACAAACTATGTATTTTTATAAATTTAATGCATTTAAAATTAATAGAATATTCCTACTTTTGTTTGTGGGAAAAATAGTTAAAATTATATCTATGGACCGGGTCTTGTGTAAACACTGCGGATACGAACAAAACAACATATTAACTGTAGCTTGACGTATTTCATCAATTGGACGCAGCTGAAAGTTTGGAACAGTGCTGGTCAGAATAGAAATCATTCGTACTCGTTGTATTAGTTGTATTTATGTAGGACTCGGAGTTAGACGTTAGTTTTTTTTTATTTTACAGATAAAAGCACTATCACTGATGCAGTGGCGTATTTATGGGTAGAGGAGGATCAAGGTGATCAACCCCCCCTCCCCCATTGACTGTATATAATACGCAAAAGTCTTCGTAGTCCTAAGCTCCTAACTTAAGGCCTTTAACTATAAAGGCAGGGCTACTGGATAAAAGAATACCCCCCCCGCCCAATACGAAAACCTAAATACGCCACTGCACTGCGGCGAGCAAAGCACCACTTGGTAAAATAGTTTTGACCCCTGATCGTTTTGATGCATCTAAAATCATCCATTCAAGTATATTTATTTTTAAATACCTAGTCTATAATATGTTGAATATTCGTGTGTTACGTGTATTACGTATATGGTATATCTGATAATAGTTTTTGCTGCCTGTCGCTTTCTATCGACAACTGTCTATTGTCAGAAGTGTTATTGGTTATTATGAATTCTGAATTAATTGTTATAAAATATAACATAACATATTCAATTCAATTATAATTATAATTTATAAATAACCATTTTTGATTTTAAATACAAACGTTTTATTGCATAGCTCTCGGATTTGATTGTTTCAAGTCGATTGACAGTAAACTGAGTCGTGTCGAAAGCAGTGTTGTCGATTTGTTGATTTATTATTACATTTTACGTTCGACATTTATAAAAACTAATTTCTTTATTTTCTCTGATTAACATATCACATCATCAGTTGAATTCCAGGTCTATGTTACTGGAACTTTCCCATTTCGAATTTCCTGTCCAAACCAGCTGAAATCTTTGGTGCATTCGTAGTTATTATACAAAGTTCTTCGTACGGAGGGTGCCAGCCCCCTGCTGGGCGGTGAAGACATGCTAATTTTGATTTCGAATTTGGGGTCCATAAACGTTTCATTCATTTTTGCTTCGTTAGTGCTTCACTGATTATTTATCACTTGTAGTTAGTACTCTACTCCTTCAAAAGTTATTGGAAGGGGGGGGGTGGTGGGGACGTACTTATTCGAGTCTAGCCTCCAGAGTTTTGTCTGAAACTATTCAACACACTGAGTTAAAAATTATCCTTGGATGAATTTCAGTTAAATCTCGTAGTTTTTGGATTAAATTACATAAATCTGAGTTTTATACTTTAAAATTTTATTAAAATTTCAGATGTATGTTAATTTAATCTTAAGAAGCTTTAAGATTCAACTTAAATTCGTCCCTGCGTACGATGTACCGATACAGAAAAACTTCGTATCTTAGACCATATATTAATAAAACTGAAAATCTTGTTGTAAAAGTTCTCGAAAAACTACGTAGGTATTTATACCTTACTAAAGCACTCCCTCATACGAATTTTATTATTTAATACCTATGTAATTTTTATGAAGTGGTGAAAATAATACGGTCTAAAAATTATATATTTTTTTTGAGTTGGCGTTATTTGTGAACATTTAAAAGATATCCTATAATACTATTATAATATTATAATAAAATTACAAAATGCTGTCTGGGTATAAATACGTCATTGTATGAAAATATCTATACCTACTCTCTACAGTAGTCACAATTAATGCTTTATTAACAGTTATTATATTATTTATTATTTTTCACTTAATAGAACCAAGTAAATACGGATATCAAACTGAGTTAAAAAAAGTAGACTTGTCTGTTGTGCCCAATGTTTTGTGCCAGAAGACATTACAGGAAACGAATCTTGGGAAAAATTTCGTTTTACATGAAAGTTTTCTTTGTGCTGGTGGCATGACGGGAGTAGATGCGTGCAAAGTGAGCGAATCGATTGTATTTGTTTTGATCAGATTAGCAGCTCCAGTGGCGGATCCAGGGATTAATTTTTTTTCTTCTTTGGGGGGAGGAGGCAAAAGTACAAAAATTGCCAAAATTAGCTTAACACAGTGTAAAACAATGGAAAACTACGGCGATTGAGGAGGGGGGCCAATGCCCCCTTTGACACCTGCCCCAGTATCCACCACTGAGCAGCTCCAGATGTTTAACTAGCCGTTTATGTTTATACATTTTTTTTTCTTATACAGGGTGATGGTGGCGGACCGTTGATATGTGCAATGAAAGAAGACCAAGGGGAGTCTAAAAAATATATTCAAGTAGGTATTGTGTCTTGGGGTATTGGGTGCGGTGATGAAAATATACCCGGTGTATACTCGTCGGTAGCGTTCAATTCTCAGTGGATCAACAAGGAGCTTAAAACGATTACATCAGAATGAAAACTGCTTTTTTCAACTGTTGACATTTTAATTTATATTTTATTACACTTCGACCGAGAATTCGAATCGATTTATTTTCCGATTAAAATTATTATTAAATTATGAAAATATATGAGTAACATAATAATAATAAACTATTCATTACAGTTATTGTGTTATTACTTTATTGAGAACTCCTATGTAGTATATTATAGTAAAAACTACATGACATGATAAGTAATGCACAGGGTCATCAGTCATCACATACAATGATATATCTATGATTTGACAATAACAAAAAAAAAATTAAATATTTCCCAGTTAATTATTGTAAATAAAAAAAAAAAGGCAATTTTAAATTTAATTTTTTTAATGTAGCTATATTGTTGGTTATAGGATCTATAGGAACTATGTCGGGGGGAGTGATATAAAGGTTAGGGGGCTTAGCCCCCTCTAATTACATCTATGACACTGGTAAACTAGAGCGTTGTGGCAAAATCTAAAACTTTAATTTGCTATCTTTACCTAACTTCGAAACGGAGTCCGAGTGACATATACTGATTGCAACAATGTTCTTCACTAAGAAAAATGAGTATGTTCCATCAATTTTGATCTCGAGTGAACTACACTTAGCCAATAGAACTGGCAATATTTTTTTGTTCTATTGACACTATTAACAACAACAAAACTAAATACCTAAATACCCTAAATATAATATGTACTTAATACCTATAGTTTTTAGTTATGAAACGGTGTCATATAACATTACACATCACGAGTCACGAGTATTTATGAGGTGTGGAATAACATCATATTAATTATTAATATCGAATAATATGAAGTAAGATGACGTAGGTAAGATTGTATGGCTTTGGGAGAAACGGGTATCTGGAAGAAATGGGCCACACCCATCTAAGGTGTCATGGCAATTAATTTTAACACTATCAGCTAAACTGAACCAGAATATACATCGGCAGTCAAAGGTTTGGTTTGGACCAACAGATTAGTCAAGGAAATCTGTAACGGTATCAGTGTCATAGACAAGGGGGGACGTGAGGGGTCAGATCCCCCCCACCATTGGATTTTTATTACCTTAGTAAAAAGTTTTGAGAGGGTGGGGAATTTTCCAATTTTTCCCTCGCATTAGCTATGTCGTTTTTTTTTTTAAACCCCCCCCCCCCCTTTCAGAAATCATGTCTATGCCACTGAACGGTATAATGGGCTAACAACCAATAGTATACTGGGACAACTTCGACTTGTGAAAACCGTGCGTTTCACATAAGGACTAAACACATTGTCGTCAGGTTCAACTGGTAATCAGGAAAAAGTTTATAGTGAAAACTTTTTGCGACTACAGTTCATTGACACAGAATAACAATATGCATACATTTTCACAAAATCTCTTCCAATGGATAGATTTGAAAAATTAAGACAAACATTATCACTGTTGAACTACATTAATTCGTAATTGTATAAAATATTAATTACTCGGGTATGTTGAATATAATTTAATATTGTATACAATGTAATATCATATTATTGTTCAATAATAACAACATCGTTTTTATTCGCAAATTGTAAATCACACCATATGTTTTAAAACATACGTTACAGCTATGTACTTTTATGTGTATGTCATGAGTTAGTAAAATATTTCTTATTAGTTATTACTAAAAGCAGTTTAGTCTTTTTTGTCTAGATCGATCTACAAAGTAAATCATAAACTCAACTTTTTTTTAGGATATATTAGATCTATCGGTTTACCCATCTTATATTCTTATCACACCATAGAACCACCATAGAACCTAACTGTTACATGATGTGGTACCACAAAGTTTATTAAGTAATCAAATAGTATATAAATATGGAGTAGGTACATTTACAGGCATTACAGCATATTAAATTATCAATATACATTTTATAAATTTGGGCTTAATAATATTATATTTATTTTTAAGGGGACCAAGATCTACTTATCTAATGGAAGGTCGGGTACGCGTGATGGACAATTCAGAATGTAAACGAGCATCTTATGCCAAAAAGAATTTCGTTATTGATGATAGAATGTTATGTGCTGGATCGTTAACAGGAAAAAAAACACATTTGTCAGGTACTGATGAAAGACATTATAAAACGTACTGTGCATTTTTAACATTTTTAACATATTTATGATTTTGATTGTTATTTCAGGGAGAGGGAGATTCTGGAGGTCCCTTAATATGGCAAATTGCATGGCGGTCGATTTTATTTAGTAGGTATTGTGTCTTTCAGATATAAATGCGGTGAACCCAGAACCAGGTTATAAAGGTGGATATATTAGGGTGACATTATATATATTACCAAATATAGGTGAAGTTAAATTGTATTAAATGATGCTGTTTAACAGACAACTTTGCGCAATTGGTTTATCTATTTTCTATTTTTCTATAGCAATACATTTATAATATATACTCAGATCACTACTAAATTTTAACCTTAATTGTTTTAAAAATGTTATTTAGTAATTAAAAATGATATTAAATAAATAATATATTTGTATTCTAATTTTAATAGTTTATTTTAAAATATTAAGTAGATATGTCAGATTCAAGTATTTCATTTTAAATCGAAATTTATACATAATTGTAGTAGGTACCTATTTTATTAAACATGATAAATTATGGTTTATAATTTATAGATTTTAGTATTTTACTGTGAAATTATTTATTTTTTAAATTAATCCTTCCAATAAATATAAAAATAAATATTTATATCAAAACTGTCTAATGTATTGGATGATTTGATGATTTAAATTTAAAGTTTTACGTTTTAGCATTTTCATAAGCATAAGTCCCCCTCTAATATTATTGTTCATGCCTGTATAGTGTAAATATAACCTACAAATATAAAATTCATTAAAACATTATACCAAGACATATAATATGAAGTTTTATGATCATTTATATTTATATACTAGTGCTACCTATATTATAGTGCTTAACGCGGACACGATGATTGCTTCAAGGTTGATCGTGGTCCGGTCGAAGTGTTTGGTTAGGATTGAGGTGATGAAAAAAACACAACACAAACACTTTAAGAATGTCACAAATTATGTATTATAATATTGCGACCAAAATATAATAATACATGACGTGCCGCTCGGGCAGATGAGTTTAACGTCGGACGATATGTTATCGGTCCGACGGTCCGATGGTGGATCTCGAATCGCCTTTTCCGCCGACCGTTGTACGTCTTATGCGACACAGTCCCCCCGTCCCGCCTTGCCGTTACCGGCTCGGTGGAAGAGTCAACCTGGTCGCGCTGCTTGCATCCCGTGGTGGTGGTTGGAGATAAGATAGTCTGGTCTCTATAGTGCTTGTACATTGTACTTGCTACTAAAGCGGGCCGCGTCATACTCCCCCCCCCAAACCACCATACGGGGTGGCACAGCGTACTGCTGTCGGTGGATAAGTGGTTCAGCTCGCGGTACCCCTTGCCATGTGACTTGAAGTAAGCTTGCCTTGCTGACACCCTCTCTGGTAGGTGGTGTTGGTTGTTGACCTCGTGCTTTGGTGCCTCGTTGTCGTTGGTATGGCTGCGACGTGACGTTGGTTATCCATGTGGTACTGCTCTGTTTGTTGCATGTGTCCGTCTGCCATCCGGACTGTGTTTGTTGGTCCGTGGAGGGGTTTGCCGTATTTACAGGCTATGGTCGGGTTTACGTACGATTTGGGTCTGTGGATCTAATAGCGCCGTTACGAAGCCTGACGGAAATTCGTGTTCGACCTCGGTGGGTCGGAATTTCGTCCGGGCGTGTTCGTGTAACGTTATTAGACGTATTGCAATCGGTCGAGCGGGGCAACTGGTTCTGAACCGCGACAGAGACTGATTGGTGGTCGGTGTTGACCGCCATGACCAAACTGTCCCTGTCGGTTGTCTCGGTGCTCACCTGATGCTTTACGTATACAGAATGACCTATAATGCGGGGGTGTGCGAAGTTGGTGTGCTTGCGCCCCCGTCACCTTTGCAGGTGAACACCCGTGGCTATGTTACCTTTGTCCCTACACCTGCGGCTGCCCCATAAGCCGTTGATGTTGACCACACGTGTCACCGGTGAGGTGAGTGTGGTGGATGGTGGGGTGGTGTAGGTTTGGGATTTAAGAGTGGGTGCCGATAGGTGGTGTGGTGACGGAAAAATTCGTAGTTGGTTTTTCGTCGTTACGAATTACCGAACTACGTGCGAGATGATGGCATAATTTTTCTCCGTCCGTACTACCGAAAATATGGTATGATGGGTGACGAGAGGTGGGTGGAGATATTATCCGACACGAAGTCAAAACGCCTGCTATGCGTCGAAGCACGCTGAACGTAAATGTTATATGTAGCCGGATATGTGTACCTACGGAAAGTGTCACGCGTTCGCCGGACGATAACACCTACCTACTCCGATTCGGATAGGCCAGTATTAACGTGCGGGGCGCGAGCTGGTTTTAAATCAGCACAAATTCCGTAAGTGATTGTGTGGACGTTTTAGTGTCTACGCGCTTGCGTGAGTAACGGCTCGGTGTTGGCTAAAAACCGGACGGGGTGCTCGGCCCTTGTTCCGCGTAGAACTCGGTATTAACACCGATCGTACCTCCGCGCGTGCGGCGTATGACGGGTAGCGCGACGCGCTACCCTTTTGACCAGAGTGGTCGTTGAAAAAGGTCGTTCATTTAAGGTGGCAATGTAACTGACACCCGGCTGGGCACTGACTACGTTGTACCTACTCGAACGACCTACCCGACTGGTAACCATCGTGTGTGCGAGTGGTATTGTGTACGGGTGACGGGTGGTTGATAGGCCACGGGATCTCAAAATTGTGTGGCTGCTGCACGCTGTTGGCTGTTCCGTGAAGAACTTCGCCATGCTAGCTTACAGCGCCATCCAACGTGACTCCAACGTTTTCGTTCGGTCGATTGGTGTAACGATTACGTCGATATATATTTTTTTTTTTTTTTGATTCCGAGGCGGCTTGGCTTTGAAAAGTTTGTCGTTCTATA